TTTTTTGGTTTGTCTGTTTTGTGTCTGTAGTCTTTGTTGCGGTTCGATGGTAGTTGTGTTTTGTGGTTTGTTTGGTTTAGTAGAGGCCGCTGGCGGCGCCTTTCCATTGGTAAACTTTTCTTTTCGCACAACTTTTTGATTAGACGCCTACTCGCCTGCTTGCAGACTTTCGCGGATACAAAGTACGGAAGGAATACGGCCCACTTGTCAGTGCGGGTGGTGAGTTTTTTTTCGTTTTGCTTTTTAAAAATAAATAGTGAGGGCTTTAAAACTTTTTCCCCTAGTCTTCCTGGGTAGAACTAGGCCCGGCAGTTCGTTTGCTGACGGCCTCCACCCTCTCGTGTCCCTCAGGTAAACTGGACGTGGAGACGGCCCACTTTATACGGCACTACTGCCACAAGTGGAAGGCAAAGTCCATGTACCAGGTGCTGCTGCTCTACCGCGCCAAGCGCTATCAGGACTTTGTCTACTTCGGCCAGCAGGTAAGTTATTTCCCCACGGTCAAGTCGTAAAAGCCGGAGCAAGGGGGCGCAGGCGCACGTTCTAATCGGCCTCCTTGAGATTCTCAAAGTTGCCTCCCTGCTCCCCCTCTCAGGTCCACATGTACAACCAGAGCATGGTGTGGAACTCGAAGACCAACCGTGAGCCGGTGGATCCCTCCAGTCTCGAGTCCAGAGCCCCCCCGGACTTCCTGGAGGCTGGCGCCGACCATAAGCCCAACGTGTTTAAGCTCCCCTTCCGCCTGCAGGATCCCTTACTGCTCGGGGTGTTTAGCAAAGTGGACCCCCTCTGCCCGGACCGGCGCGCGTAAGTAGGACCTCCCACAGCGGTCTCATTCCATGAGCGCAGCCTTGCATATGTCCCTCTTTTGATCTTCCGTTTGTTTGCATAGGTCCCTGCAAGAGGACGAGCCCTGGGACGCGCCCTTCAGGCCGAAGCAGGTGGCCGGGATGAAGGGCTCCACGTCGATGATCATCGGCCCGTACGGCAAGCGAGGTGCGCTCGCGTCGTCCACGTTTTATTGCTCATTACCGCGGTATCATTACTTTTCGTTTTGCCCCCCCCCCCCCGCTCGTTCGGCCCGCAGACCAGGAGGTGCAGACGTCCCTCGTCGACATCCGGGGAGCCGCCAGGGACGACGACCGGCGACCCTCGGTCCAGTTCAGGAACGGGCCCGCTGCGCCAGCCTTCCAGGTGCGCCTGAGACGGCGTCTCGTCTGGTAGAGCGAGCGAGCGAGCGAGAGAGAGAGAGAGAGAGAGAGAGAGAGAGAGAGAGAGAGAGAGAGAGAGAGAG